GATCTTCCTCACCCATCCACATAATTTTCCTATTATACTTGTTACCTTTAACATACTATATAATTAAGTTAATCGGTTTTTATGTCTCTTCCCCCACTAGAATGTAAGCTCCACAAAAGCAGGGTTTGGTTCACTGATGTATCCCAAGGGCCTAGGTTAGTGCCTTGCATCTGATAGCTGTTTAATATATACATGTTGAGTAAATGGATGAATGATGAATTCTATTTCATTTGGAGCAGTGACGGGGTCAAATTAGGAGGACCCTAAAAGGCAAAAATCTCAAGTAGTGACAGTGGACTCTCTTGGTCCCTGGCCCTTCTTAAAATAGAGGTTTTCCTTTAGTAAATTATTTTAGGGATGATAATAATGATGGGTATCATTTAAAGAGCACAGGCGTTGAACTAGGCACTTTATATACATTATTTTGTTTAATCTTAACAGTGCTATAGGTAATTATCATCTCCATTTTAGAGATGGACAAACTGTGTGGCTCTGAACATTGGCTTTTCAGAGTCGCATGATTGGTAAGTGGCTATACCAATGTTTCTATTCAGAGAACTCCCCAGGACAATGTCTTCCCCATCAAAGCTAAGAGCTAGGTTACCTTCTTCCTGACCTAACTCCCAGCCAACACCATCAATTACCTTGTCCTACCTTGCCCCAGTTATTGATCTCCCAATCACCTTATCTTTTGGAATAGCAGCCCAGGAGTTCAGAGCCACTCGTAGCCCCGTCAGAGTTTCCATCCTTTGCCCCTCATTTTGCCCCTTCAACTGCTTGATGAGAGCCTGGATCACGTGCTTATTCAGGCAACCTGGACAGGGAGGGTCCTCAGATCAGGGGCTGCTCCTTTCTGCCAGGATCCATTTGACTTCACTGTGCCCTCAAGAAAGAAGTTCCAAGTACTAGGTCCTAAGGTCTTGCACATCCTCCCAGGCCACCAGAGCAGCTGGCTGAGCTTGACTGCAATTCCAGGAGTCCCCTCTCTTCCCCACTCCCTTCAATCTCCTTTTTCACTTCACTTTCCTCTCTCTGCCACACAGTGTCTAGCATAGTTCCCAGACCCTGCAAAATGCTCAAATACCACACTCCACTCCCCTCTGTCCTTAACCAAAGGGGAAAGTGACTGCTCTGGCCCCTGTCTTACCTCTCTAGTACCCCACCCAGGGAGAAGATATACTCACCCAGGATGGCCAGGGTTCGACAGGCCTCATACTTCACTTTCTTTGGACTAGTTTGGGCCTGATTTAAGAGGCAGGTGGTGGAAATACGCCATAAGATGATGGAAGTCAGAGCTTTAAGAATCTCAGTTTAACTTTTCATTTTACAAATGAGGATACTGAGTCCTAAAGAGTGACCTATCTGTGCTCAAACACAATACAGCCAGAACGGTACAATGGAAGGAACACAACTTGGGAGTAAGACTTTTGTTCTGATACTTATCTGGTGTCTAGTAGCCATGTGGCCTCAGGCAAGTCGCCCTCTCAGAGCATCCATTTTCTCATTAGAAAAATGCAGATACTACTACCTATTCCTAGTAATGTAAAATTTAAATGTGATTATGGAGAAGGATGCATGCGCTCCCCTATAAATTGGCATATAAACATGGGGCATTGGTTCAATTAAGGTAGAGAATGAACTCAGTCCCAGTTCTCTCCTGGCTTTTCAGTTGAGTGTCTTTTCTGTTAGACAAAGGGGATCTTCAGATTTCCTCTGTGCCATCCTTCTAGATTAAGCTGCCCTTTAAAGAAGCCAAGAACATGAGATGGCGACATGCTGCACACTGGCAGCTCTCTCCTCACTGGATCTGACCCACCATCCTTGTACCCTGGTAAGCCTTATCTATCCCCATGTGCCCATGCTGTACACACCTCAGACTCTATTCCCTCCTCTCCTGAACTCGATGTAGCCCCAGACTCACCACCTTCAATAGTGCCTCCATGACAAACTTGTCACTGATGCCCAGGCACCCGAGAGCCTGCAAGATCAGGGTAGAGGAAAAGGAAGAGAACTTGGACACCACCCCAGGAGTTATCGTCCTCTGTACACATCTGGAGTTTATTTTTGGAACTACACTCCACCCCCGCCCTCCACCTCAAGCATCTTTTCTACTCTCCAGCTTAACTAACGCCTACCTGCAATCATGTTCCTTGACCCTTGCCACTTCTCACCTGTGCTGCATAGAACTGTTCATCCTCTTTGGGAGATTTTAGGCTTTTTGTGAGTTCCTGCCCATCCAAGGAAGCCAGTGGAAAAGAAGAAAGGGATAAATATAGTTGTAGAACTTCACACTGAAAGGAGCTCATCCAGTTCAATCCCTTTCCCTCCCCTTCCTTCATTTTGCAGGCAGGGATTGAGGGCTGAAGGATGATGTGAGCCCAAGGTAAGGGTACCCACAGGAAGGGAGTCTCCCCATCCTCCCACCATGGTCCCTGACCTTTAATCTTTGCCACTTCAGGGGGTCCCCAGTAGGGTGTAAAGTCTTGTATCTTGTCTGAGATTTTGTAGTCAACTTGATCATTGGAAGATGAAATTTTTGGATGGGGGTTCCCACTTTGTGGTACCTGTATGAGAAATTGCACAGGCAGCCTTGGTTCTCTTGTTCCCTCTCTCCTTACTTCACAAATTCTCCTCTGCCCCTGGTCCTCAGCCCAGATCAGAGGCGGAACCAGAAGACAGATGAGTCTCCTTCTACCTCAGGGTCTTCTGGCATCTGTAGGCTGACTTTGTCTCTGCCCTCACCACACCCCTTCTTTTTCTTTCCTCTTTTTCCTAGAAGGTGTGGAGGGTTGTGGAGAATAGGGAGGGGCAAAGCATACCTAGGGTGATCTCTCATTTTCTGCAACATCTTCTGGGTCTCTCGTTCCTGTTGCTGATTGTACAGGGTGTGCCAATGTGTGTAGATCTCGGGCTTCTTGAAGTAGCAGTAAGGTACCGCATTTGGCTTGCTTGGGTGTTGCCTCCAGCACTCCGGACTTGGGGGAAACTCTTCCTTTGGCATCTGGAGTGGGGTAGGGATGTGAGTGGCAGAGCAGTCACAGGGGATAGTCCTCAGTCAGGAAAAGAGCAAGGGTAAGAAGAGACTAGGTGAGAGAGATGCCCATCAGTCTCTCATCTGAACTGGAGTCACAGCTACCTCCTATCCCACCGTGTGACCTGGGCAAGTTTTCTCACTGCATTCTGGCATTCAAGAGATATTTATTGAGTATCTGTTATGTGCCAGGCACTGTGCTAAGTGTCAGGGAAGCAGTTATCATTCCCCACCCTATTGAACTTAATAGTTTCATTGGAAAAAAAGGCTTCAAGTAATCTCTCTTTTAAACAATTGCGAACCCACAGCTCTGATTATAGTGGAGAAGTTTTGAGTGGGTCAGGGGCTTTCTCTGAAGATTTGCTTAGAATTCATTCCCATCTCTTCTCAAGCCTTCCTTCCTGTCTTTATAACAGATCTCTAAGCAACAAAGCAAGAGGGGCTTCAGGCAATGGTTCCCAATTTGGTAATTGAGAAGATCATAATAAGTTCTCAAGTGATTGTCATGATTTCAGAAGATGGGTCTTCAACTCACAATGAGTAGAGTTGTCAGATTTAGTTAACACGAAGCAAGTAGAAAACAGGATGTTCAGTTAAATTTGGATTTTAGGTAATGAATGCAATATTTGGGACATATTTATACTAAAAACCATTTATTGTTTATCTGAAATTCAAATTTAATTGGGCAGCCTGTATTTTATTTGACAACTAACTATGAGGATCCCTGGGTTAATTAATAAAATGACTCATTAATAAGCACTGCCTGCGTAGTCCAGGCCTTACAGGTCTTACCTCATAGCAACTCTACAAAGGGAGCGGGGCAAAGATTGGCCTGTGACAGAGAAAGCTCCTGAGGCTGAAGGAGGGAAAGTGACTTGTTCAAGGTCATACAGAGTTGGTAGTAGCCCTGAGGGTGGCTGTTACAGTTCTGTGAAGTGGCCATAATGTGAAGGGACAGTCTGGTGACCCTCCTACTTCAATAAAGCTCCCAGAGTGGCAAAAGTTAGGGGTCTTACCTGGTGGCAGGACAAGGGCAGGTAAACGGGAGCTGTGGCTTTTCTGAGTTCTGCGGTTCAAATGAGACAGCAGTTACAAAGATGGCTTAAAGAATCATCCATCCAGGCATTTATTTATTCAGCATTTAGTGAACACTAGTAACAAGCACTAGAGAGGTACAAAAAGTGTAATTCTTGTCCTTAAGGGGCTTATGACCTTCTGGTACCTTGCTGCTCAAAACGTGGTCTGCAGAACAGCAGGATTGCCACAGCCTGGGAGCTTCTTAGAAATGTAGAATCGTAGGCTCCACCCCAGGCCTACTGAATCAGGATCTTCATTTTAACAAGATTTCTATGTACTCTTGAGTTTAAGAAACACTGGTCTAGCAGGGTGGTTCTCAACCTTGGCTGCATATTCAAATTTTGGACGGGGGAGACTTTTAATAGGCCTTGGCCCTACATAAGACTAATTGAATCAGATTCTCTGAAGAAATGGCCTAGATACTGTATTGTATTTTTTTTTTATTAAGTTTATTGGGGTAACATTGGTTAATACAATTATATAATTTTCATGTGTACATTATAATTTGACATCTGTATATTCTATTGTGTGTTTATCACCCAAAATCCAGTTTCCTTCAGCTACCACATATATTTGATCCCCTTTACCCACTTCATCTCCCCACCCCCATATATTTGACCCCCTTTAACCATGTACCTACCCTCTCCTCCCCCACCCCT